CAATTTCCTTATACTAATTAACAAAGTGATCAATATCAGTTATTATTAAATTTTGAACCTACTATTTAAATTGATTTTCAGAATTATTGATTATTTTCATCAGTTCATTACATTAATCGATTTATTTATTTATTGAGATTTCCATATATTGTTATATTTAAAAGATATTCTATTTGACATCTTTAAGTAAATTTATATTTTATTTATAAAAAGCTTCTTTGTTACTAATTAATTAATCCTTAAATTTATTTAGTTTTTCCTAAACATATTCTTTTGGAACTAAATTGCTTTTTAGATCTGTGATGCATTATAGGCACATTTATTTTAACTGAAGATCAAATTGAGATTTGTCAAAAAATATAACTCTTTGTGCATGTTTGGAGCAAATTTTATTTTCCATTAGAATTATTAATAAAAATGGATTTTAAATAAAGAAAATAATTATAATAATTTAATCATACTACAAATTTTCACCAATGTTTTCTAAAATTATGAGCTAAAGGATGGAATTCAATAATTAGATAATTACAATTTATTTAATTTTCCATAATTAACTTTTAATTTTATAGTAAAAGTTCACATACACATAATCTTTTGTATCCTCTATTAAAAAATAAAATAACAATTATTAAAGGAGGGTAAGGACTATTATACTGGATTTTAATTCCTAAAGATAAAAATTGTACTTCCTTTATACCTTAAAAATCTACTAATTCTTAATATTCTAATAAACCAAAAGTTTACGAACATAAACTGGATAAATATCTATGAGATTGTATCAAGTATTTATAATGTTCAGAATATCCCCTCTCCAAATGCAAATGCAGATATTTCTTACAATTTTGAGGGGATAGACTGCCAGAAATTAATAACAAATTCAATAGAACAAAATTCTTCAGATTCATTTAAAAAAGTTGTTAAGCATTTTTGATGCTTTTAAAAACGGAACCATTATGGATTTCTTTGAAAGTAGCTGACAAAACATATTTAAATGAATTTTGTAAAAAAGGATTTATTGAAGCGACTTTAAAAGCTTTTGGATAATTTTTTAATTAGAAGTGAAAGAGTTGATGCATTTGAAGATTTATCCGTAACATCGAGATAACTATTTCCTTATCAAAAGATTATAAATTGATCAATTAACGATGGAGGATTTTCTACAAATAGATCAGAAACCCTTCCTAAATCATAATATCAATAAACTTATTTAGATAAATTTGATTTTGTTGCATTTATATCATTAAGTTTGCAAGATCTATATAATAATTTTATTTCAAATGAATAAGGTGATGTACGAAATATTGACATTAAAAAAGTGTACATGTTTTTTTAGAATATAGTCTCGTAAAGATTAAAGCTTATCAAACTTGATTGATAGGATCTAATATACCTACTAAAAAGAAACAAAGAAGAGATTCATTTTGAACAGTTTTTAAATTTAGATTAGAAACTTATTATCTACTTAAAAATAATTTATATTAATATTTATTTTATTTTTAAATAGAAATATTAGTAATGGAAGATTATGCTAATTGAAAAAAATTCTATTAGGGTTTTTTGGTCTACATTATCTGTATTTATTCCTCTCTATGTCCCTATAATTTAAAACTCTCTCTAGAACAATTATTATAGGTTTTCATTCAGGAAGTTTCTAGTAAGTAGAGATTCAAAAAATGAATAATTTTGATATTTTTTTTATTTAAGTGATTCAAATTAGAAGATCTGAATAGTTTTGAATATATAAAATTAAATAGATGCGGTCATAAACTAAAATTCACATTTAAAATAAATAAAATATAGATAACATTTATTAGTCTTCATTTTTTTTTATTTCATTTTATTGCTTCTAAATTAAAATTAGTGATTAGGAATGAATCTTGAATTGTGCATCTAAAAATTTTGTACCAGACGATTTTGATAATTCTGATTATTTTTCTGTCATATTAATATGGTCTTCAATAAATCAATTTCTTATTATTTAGACAAAGTTAGTTAATTTAAACTTACCAAACATTTTGTGTTTTCAAAATAAATATTCAAATGCTTATTAACTAATTAATTAGGATAAACTTTAAAACTTATCAAAATCTACTAATTAAATCTTCCATTTCCCAACTTCTAATTAGTTTAATATCCCCTTTCTCAATTTCATAATACTATAATAATCAAAAAGTATTTATATTTGAATTAAATAATTTAATAAATTTTACTAACATTCTCTTTTTGTTGCGTTCCACTCCATTCATTATGATCAGGAAGAGTTCTATTATTCTCAATTTCATTCTTTGTTTGTGGTCTTTAGTTTTTCTTTTGAATAATCTAAGTTAAAAATAAGTTAATTATTTGTTAATATATATTTCAAATTCCATTATTTAATA